TGAATCGGCGGCAAAAAGGTGCAGATAAGCTACATTTAAAGCTTTCCCATGTAGTCAAGGCTTCATTGATATAATCAATGAAAACAAATGGAGACTTCTAGATCTACCAGCGAGCTTGTTGATCGATGCCGCGACCCTCGATATCCGGTCCATATCATGTTCGACTTATTGGCTATATCTACATTGCAAATACAGAAGAGGGGGTTCTCTTCTTCTCTCCCGGAGAAGAGCTTTATTTCTAACTTGACTGGATGAAGCTTTTTATCATCGTCTGACATAGCCACAAAGCGTGTAGCATAGTCGACGTCATTCAATCTTGGACCTGCCCAACAAGGGTCGTCTCTTACTGCGTAACGCTCTCGAGACGTGCACTGTCCTGCGACACAAGGAAATCTAGATACTATAGACCTAAATTTGTGGTCAATTGCAAGCGCTACTTTTGAGATTTAGAAAAAGGATTAGATTGTACCCATTTTGAAGATAATTAGATTTTACAGACACAAATGCAAAGTACTACCATTCGGTCCTAAGTTGGCAATAGCTTTCTCTAAATCTACGTCCTCTGGATGCTTCATCGACACTATAGCAATTAGCACATCACGGAATATGAACCGTATAGTCGCACTTTACCAATCGGCACATCGAGTATTACTACCTGTAGAGTAGCGCGTTATAAATCGCTACATGTCGCAGAATTAATTGGCTTAGCTTATATGTTAGTCGCATCATTCTAATTGAGGAGCGTCTTTGTAAACATTTCCGCTTACCTCAGCAGAAATTATACTTCAATACCCAACATGTTGCGTGGATGTGGTAAACACATGGTTACGACAAATGTAGGAAATACGTAGCCCCCGATGTTCTTAAGTAAAAGCAGTATTCCACAGCCACCACTTCTTTAGCTTCTTTTCCCGTGCAACATAATATCGAGTGTCACTATAGCTGATTTCTATTAACTTAAATTGAGTTATGCAGAAAAAGGGACATCGATCTTAGTTACGTTCTATATAAGGCGCTCTAGACGCTTTTAAACTCCCCACTGTGCCCCATGTCACTGGGTTTACTTATCTACAAGTGGATATTGCTCTATTCTGCGCTTAGCGACTAAAAACGTCTAGAACTTTGTGTAACCATTAAATATACCTCACAATAAGTAATAAACATGGCAGCGGGGGCGTCGAGCCGGAAGGAATCTCCGCTACAACAACTCCACAACCAACAGGTTATTCGCTTGTGCGAATGGTCCTTGGTTGTCCTCGTCGATCTTAATTACTCTATGTCAAACATTTGATCAAGCTTAAAGTAGAACATATTTGGCCACACAACTTATTTAGTAGATTATGGTAGTGCCATTTTCTTTGATTACGACAGAGAAAGATCGAACGAACGTTGCTTTTAGGTCATTTAGGTGATGGACCATTCATTCATCATGGACGCACACCATTCTTTACTTCACCTTGCCTGACTTTTTCCAGCTCAGTATTTATCCAAATGGCCTCGCAAGCTGATGTCCCTACTTCTTTAACGCTCATTGCTATTTTCTTTGTGCCACTAACGTACGAACGACCCTCTTTGGTGCTTATCAGTGTGTCAGACACGGCAGGCGGAATACTGGCTGATTACTCTTACAGAAGTTTCAATATCTCGATGAGTACATGCCATGAGGTACATGATAAAACAGTCGTTTACTGTTAGAGTACCTTGCCATCGTTTCGATATACTTGCAACATCATTCGCATATAGCCTATCCAAATTTTTTCTCCAGTACTGCGGCAACTTAAGTTAAATGCTGATAAGAAAGGCAATCCTTTTTTGGATACATTTGCCATTCTCTTACCTAGCCCGCTGCTAACGATCGTAAAAAAGACTTTCGATGGCTAGGATCTGTTTACGAGGTCTTGGCTACTGGTTCCTAAATCATTACTTTGAATCGTGGTATAGTTCGATTTCTTGACAAGTGCCTTCGTACTTAGGCAACTCGCACGTCACGAGAATTGTGGAAAATTTTCAATTCCATCGAATCATTAAATACAGAATTTTCCTGCAACGACTTGATGACAATGGAATGAATCGCTCAATCTGCGTCTTCCCATCCAAAAAATGCCTTTTATGATTGAAATGCTCAAAGCCCATTTGTTCTTAGCGAAACTCACCGCCAACCTGATGTGAGCAAACTTCTTATCCTCGGCATAACGAGTACGAAAATCAGCTTGGGTGGCTACTACATATCTTTTGCATGTAACAACTTTGATGATAGCGGTATATCTTCGTTATCCTTTAACTTAATGTTTGATGGTGCTATTGAAGTTGTATTAGCGTCTACATTTGATTGGTTGTCATACAACTTATGCAACGCCTCAATTACTTCCTGTGAAAACATAGGTTGCTTGGATCTCGTGTTATCGTAGTATTTTCACGAGGTTTTTAAATGAGTTTACAATTTTCCCTCAACTTCTTATTTATGGAGTAATGCATCAATAGCGAGGTCGTCTGCCGTCGGCTGTCAAGGCGACCTCAAATTCCCGTAGTGCCGCTCCAGGCAACATGTCTATTCTCCCTTGGATGTTTCCCTCTATTCAAACATCCGTTTCCCGGTGCACTCTACTCATCGAGTGGTGGGCCTTCGGCACTGCCTGAGTTTCAGAACAGCCGTCGGCAGCATGCTCCAAAGAACAGTGATAACTACAATGAGGTCTTGTGCTGTCGTGCAAACGATCGATGCACTAGTGGGGTCATTGCAGTCACTCGTTAAACATTCGCACACTTTTGAAAGTTCCAAGACGTTCATCGGATGAACATATGACGAACAAGTGGCAGTAATCATTACGTCTGGCAGCTTCCGCATTATCCATGGCTCCAATTTTATGAGCCATGGTAGATCTAGGTGACATCGGAAATGTCATTTAGATTCAGTACAATAAAGTCAGCATCGAGCAGTCTATTTCCTCAGCGTGTAGAAAATCTGCACTTTACATTTATAGATTTGTAATGATGTTCCTGCTGCAAGGCGCTCCGACATCCTCGCTATCGAGATGTAGCCTTAATGAAGTTGAGCCTCCGTCCTCATGTGAACGAAGTCGAAAGCTTATACGATGACCCACAGTCACCTTAGTCTTGAAGAAGATATTTTTCGTCACTTCAATCTTCAACGTGATGATGAATACCTCACCACCGAGAATCCTGCGAAGGGAATAGAGTCAATATTTGTGCAAAGCGTCAAGTGCATGCTGCACGAATAGGGACGTTGTGGCGTATTGGTCGTCTCCTTTCAAATCGATCAGCGTAGCGTGATGGCAGGTCTACCGACGTCGAAAATAATGCTTAAAGGCGTAGGTCAATCAATGTCATTAAAATGGGAGAAGCCTTTACGAGTGGTGTGAAAGCTACCATTTCTTTATCCAGCATATTACTCCTGGGTGGTTAAATGGAGTTATCTTGGTCATCGGACGAATCAAGAAGTTTTACCACTTGTAACGAGCATCATGCGCTTGCAATGAGCCAGCTCGAGTTTCTTATAATGACACCATGTGAGCAGTTGCCCCGAATGACCACTAACAATCTTGCTCAGAGGATAAATTAATACTTTGACTGGATTCACTGGTAACGGGACGAGTAAGATTGTACATAATATAGCTGAGCTGCATTGCAAAAACCCTTCAATCTTACTCTTTATAAGAAACAACAAGCGTCAAATGTAGCAACTCATTCGCCACCCTTTGCTCGCGTGTAGCAGCTATTGTGGTCTAATCTGTTAGTTTAAGAGCGTATTTCCCACCGATGAGTGGTGCAGTGCCGTGCATTATATATAAGGGTAACATTCCATCAATATTTACTTCGTTTAGTGAATATTCAATAAATCACATACTAATTTTTATAAGTTCATTGATGTATTTGGTGGATACCAAAGCAAACAAACGTTTTTCGCTTTTATAGCGTTCACTCGTCCAACAACTCACAGTAGTACAACAAGTTTTTGGTCGATAGACACATCGTGCGGGAACAGCAGTATCTCCTCATGCCACACCGCGAGTAACGAGACAAACCCCTCAGCGTTTCACCACGAACGAGTGAGAGCGGCTAAACACACACAGGTCCGATTCCCAGCGTCAGTTCGATGAGCTGATCAGCATAACTTCAACTCCGTTTGCACGAGGGAGAAGCAGCGCAAAGCCATTATGCACTCAGCGTACCAATGAGTGCCTCGTCGCAACCCATTGCTCGCATCGTATCGCATCGGCCCTTCTCGTGGCGGGCGTCGGCGCTTAGGCGGGTACTGGTCCGCCACCCGTAAGTGGAGACTGGGCCCTGTGGCAAATCGTGGACTCGCTGGATTCGATGCTGGCCATGCCAAGTACTGCATGCCCCCAACGCTGCCACGCTGCACGAACACGCGTTGAACCACGTACCTCCCTGTCCCGGTGCCAGTGCCTTTTTACTCGGCCACCGGGGTCGGTTAAACAGCGTGCTGGAGAGAGCAACAGCGTTAAGTGGCCTAAAGACCAGACGCAAAGGTGGCCGCCGATCCTCTGACCACGGATCAGCGGCCATCTTTGCGTCTCGGCGCCTCGGTGCGCAGGACGACGACCACACAAGAAAAAGAACGAGGAGGACGTCTGAGACGAGGACAACACAGACAGTGAAGAAACGAACGAGTGTGTGTCTGTTTTCCAGCAGTTGTACTAGCGGTGGGCTACTCACTTGGTCCAGCCGACGTCGCAGGCTTAGACGACTAAAGCTGGAGATGGACGGCAGAAGGACGACAACAGAAGGACTGGTAGACGCTTGCGCTTGTGTAGCTCGTGTTCGTGCAGGCAGCCAGAGGAGGTGGGCGATCAAGGGTTGAGATCGGAATGAGCTCTCGGAGCTTCGCCTTTGTTGAAGTGGTCCTCGCAGACCTTTCATCGGGTGATAGCTGAAGCCATCCGGATAGAGCTGTCCACACTTTGACAAGGCGACGAAGCAGAAGCGACGGAAAACGGCAGCGATCGACCAGTGCGTGAATGCCTCCGAGTCCCAGCAGCGTTGAAAGGCCCGAAGGCGAGCAGCAACGAGGTGGCGATTACATGGCTACACGCACGACCAAGGACGAGACGTTATGGGACGAGGAACATCATCTGTTGCGCATGGACCCGAGTCTCATTACGGAGAGTCAGCAGCTGGCGTTTCTACCGCGGACCACCGCTCACGAGGCATCGGGCACTTTCAGCAGTGCAACAGAGAGCCGCAAGACGTAGTAGTCGCGTCTTTGAGGTCTGCAAAGAAGCACCGACGACGTCAGCAGCGCACGGCGAGCGGCCGCCCGTGTCCGCGCACGAAGAGCAAGGGGGGCGGCTCGACAGGACGCGTCGCGATACGACGAGAAGGTTGAGGTGTCGGAGTCGGAGGATGATGTGTCACGGTTGAAGGCAACGGTTCGGCCCTGTGGAGACAGCGAGCCACGTTATGTGTGCCTCGATATCCACGTCGAGCATATACTTGCATCGACACCACAATTGGTCGTGGGGACTCTTCGACAAATGTGCACGACGGCAAGGACCTGCGAGGGTTGACTCATTTTGCCTTTGCCACGGTAGTGACGCGGGCTTGCACGACCAAACATCCGCGTCAGCGATGCGATACCTGCTCCATCCATCGAGTGTTGAAATTGAAGGGAGACGAGTGCCTGTGAAAGTCGAAGCTGCGACACACTGTACCACGGCCTGCAATGTACGGGCCTCAGTTACAAGCAGAATCGATAAAAGCGCAGCAGAAGACAACGTGCTAAGACAACGTAATCTATCGAATGAAGTAACATGACAAGGAACAGCAAAAGTCACTCACGTTCTATGGTCGCTAGCACGCTAGCCTACTTGGTCTTCTCAGGAACTCCTTCTGGCTTGTCAAAGTACTCGCTGTAGTCGGCTAGAATGTCGTCTTGGGATGGTCTTCCGTGAGAATGAATGGTAGGAGTGTCCGATCCCGACCAAAGCATTCACAGGTCGTCAGCAGTTGTACTAACCTCGAAGAACATACCGAACTGCTCCTCTTCGACGATCCCCGCTGCGTCGTCTAAGGCAACTTTAGTTCTAACGAGTCTGCTAAACGCACGAAACAATGCGCAGAACACTCAGGGCCTAGCTCTGCGCCCGTTAATGTAACTCGATATATTGATCCCATATTTCTTTTCCTCTGTCAATAGCAGTCGAGTCGGTGTCCACACCCTTTGCAGGTACCGAATCAAGCGCCCCTGCATGCTCGGAAACATCATCCTTTGGATGCGTGAGGGTGCTTTCGCGAGACGGGGGTGCGGGAACTGACCCGGGAGATGTAGAGTGTCGTGGTGGGGGAGACTTCGTGAGCTGGCGAGGATAGTAGGGGCGGGTAGTGCGACCTTGCGATAGCCCCAATCTCTTCAACCACTTCCACCAACTTCTCCCAGGCACGCGATGGTTCAAGCATGCGCTCGTCACCCTTGTTTTCGTCCGTAGCTATGGCCACCCGCAGTCGTCGAGGAGGGCCTTTTTCGGGATCAGCAGCGTCAGGTAACGAGACCTTCGTCTCGGGCAGGCCTACAGCGCATTCGGCACTGATGAGCAATGCAGCACTGACGAAGAGTGCACGGAAGCAGGCGATTCGCATGGTAGAAAGGAATGGCCGATGTGGGTCAGGAGCTTGTGGCGCGCAAAATGAATAATGACGCATACGGCGTGGCAGCGACCCAGACGAAATGCTTCGATGCTGCTGCCGCAGATAGCCTGCTCCATGTCAGCCGACACCATGGAGTGTGCAGACGGGCGGTCTGCGTCGCAGTTGCAGAACAGGTCGCTCTGTGTCAGCAATTGTCCTGGCGATGTTTAGACCAGACGCGTGGTCACTCATTGAATAGGTCGCTCCACCATTTTACGCCATTATGAGTGGATACTTCCCAATTTGCGCCTTCGGGCAACAAGGCCAAGCGACGACGTCCTCCAACGAGCCGGAATACCGGTCCCCTTGACCTGGGCGGGAAGTCCTCCGATGGGGGGGCTCAGGTCACGGGAACGAGGTTTTTCTCCCGCTGCGTGCCTACGGGGAGGTAGCGTAGCGTGCAAACCGCAAGGGGAGCAACAACCCAGAGACCCCCGGGTGTGGGGCACGGCGACAGCGGTTGTCACCACCTAATTCCTGCTATTGTACGTCAGCTTCCAAGTCGCAGGTTCGGTCGCCGAGCGCGAAGCTCGGTCCCACGAAGCGAAGTTGCCTAGGACGTGATTATGACCGGAACCGTCCAGGTGCACTAGCGGCCTATCGGGGGTGATCGGTTTGGTACCCGGCGTTTTCTGCGGTTTTCGCGCCCTGTCTACCCCCAGGACTGGATACCCGTTTCCCGTGCCCTCTGCTGAGTGTTCCACGTGACGCTGGACGTCTCGAGCCAGCAGACATCGCCAGCGAGGAGGAGAATGATGTAGTCTAGGTCGACGCACACGGATAGCGTAAAGTTTTTAAACACTTACTCGACGTTCGGGTTTCTCTCTCTCTCGCCATTGTGAGTGGACATACGTGTGAGCGTAGACAGCCCGCGGGAAACTCCTGTCCGAAGACTGCTTCTGTGCAGCTATGTGCATCCTTCGCTCGGGCGGGAACGCTGTACAAAGATTTCGAGCATGTTTGCTCTTTTGCAAGTAGCCAGCTCCTCATTCCTCACGGAGGCCAAGTCAATATTGCCGCTCCGAATGTAGCTCTCTCTCACCTGTATTGTAGCCCTTGATATCTGGTCTCTGCAACACTACAAACAGATCGAGGCATAGGATGATATCGCTACAACGCCCAGCCACCACTGGCACAAAGTCGTGCGCGGCAAATGGTGTCACACACGCTGCATGTTTTTGTGGAACTCGATCCAACCCAGGATCAGCGATTCCTCGAGTCGTTGGTGTCCAGGAATCTGGTGCGGCGTCATACTGCGACGATTTGCGCCGAAACTGTCCAGCGAGAGAGAAATAGATAGGTCGATAGGGCGTCAGCGAAGTAGAGAGAGAGAAGCAGACGTGTCTATTTAACCTTTAACTGGTTGCACAGTGTCTGATTTAGGTTTAGCCTAGTTTGCCACGCCAGTACCCCGTTAGAATCTGGTGGTTGTACGGGACTGGGCACCGTTGGCGACGGCTCTCTTGGTTGCCTACCTAGTTGTCGCAGACGTGGCAGTAGGCGCCGGGCGTCACCAAAGAGGGCGACGTCTGCAATTTCCTGATTTACGTAAATAGCGCCGGTGTCGAATGACCTGCTGGATGAAGTTGATTTACCGCACGGTGTGGTGGATGTCAAACAAGCCTATGCATTGCGTGACAAGAACACTTTGCACACACGCATGCATCGCTCTGAGCTCTGTAGGCGACGACGCTTGTACTTGACGCAGTCCACACAGCTTACTGGTCAAAACATCCTTCGAATATCACCTCATCTTCGTACATACGACTCGGTTTCTCTGCATCCTGACTGTCGTTATACCGACAGAGCACACCATATAAGCGAATGTGGCCCATTGAGAGACATGCGCCCCAGTAGAATCGCCAGCCGAAATAGGGTGGAGCACCATTCCGCGATTATTTTGCCTCACTTGTTCTTGGCGCACGGCCTGTTGGAAGTGCCGACACATGGCCAAAACTGAATACACTGAATAGGCATCACGCGTCGCCTACAGAGCTCAGAGCGATGCATGCGTGGTTGCAAAGTGTACTTGTCACGCAATGCATAGGGTTGCTTGTAACAGGATGTTGATATCCAAGCACGGTGTCAAATACGTACACTATCTTGGTAGATGATGTAAAAAACTGCGGCTAAAAGCGAGTAGTTGTCACGACAATATTGCCTCAGTGGGTGATATTGTGGAAACTCACCTTTGAAGGCAACGTTCGACAACAGTTGACAACGAATTGTTCATTGGTTCATTTAGACTAAGATTCTCGCCAATGTAATCACCAATCAATGCTGGACGCTTGCAATGGGGGGTGAGTAAGAAGCCTACAGACATGTTTGCAGTTTACAATAGTTAGCGGTAAGCGTAGGAAAGGGTTGTATTGAGACAAAACTGCATAATTAGAGATGTCTATTCCGATCCATTTGAGCTTGTCCAGATAGTTGACTGCATATCCTCTACACGTCACTGCAAGCGGAGATCGGGCGCTCCGAAACATCACGTTTCAGTGACGTAATGTTTCGAAGCACCCGATCTCAGCTTTCACCACCATTAAGGGTTATGCTGTCATCAGTATAAACGTGTGGCGGAATTCTAAGTTGTGTGGTAGGCCTGCGCAATCGGATGGCTATCAGTACGTCTGACATGTGAACGCATTGTGTATTTCCAGTATGTACAATATGATTCGCACGGGCCCGAATGATATTCGTGCGCGCATGTCAAGCAATAGCACTTGTCACTAGCTTGTGTTGAACGACAACCATTTGGACGACTCTATTCGTGTGATTGGAGATCGATGAACATGGCAAATGCCTTTGTCAGACAGATGAATCAGCCTTGTGTAGTTATTGAGATAAGTAAACACTGATATAGCATGACTGCACATGGAAACAAAGAATTGAAATGATATCAAGATCAGACGCTAAACGTAGTAATAAACAAAATCGAACCTTTAGTTTACACCCCGCTCCTAATCTATGTTCCAACAGATGACGTGGAATAATAACCTATACGTGCACCAGCTGCAGACGTTTAATGCTACATAAGGCCGACGCCGTGTCGCATTACCGATCTTAAGCCACATGGCATGATTGAATGGTATCTTACTGACTGCATCGGCATCGTACTAATCGACACAGAATTAAAGTTATCATCAGATGAAACGAATTGACTATTGAGTGTATGTGTCACAAACCGCCTACGTGCCCGACCGAGACTGTAACGGGGCACACCCTTGCGTGAACTTAACGCAAGGGTATCGCGCACCGACAAGCGTACACGAGGCAACCGATGAAGCGGTAGAAAAGACAGAGGCAACACTGTCTCAGGGAAAAGTAGAACTGTTATATTAATATAATTGAGCATTTAACTACTGTCTCTCTGTTTGACTTAGCTTAACTTTACTAATCTAATTGAGTGTATGGTGACGTCTCGTCACCACTCATTGCGCGCGTCTTGCGGCGATTGGTAGGTTGATATCATAAAGATATCGACCAATGAGCAGACTCTTTGGTCGACCCATCAATATCACCACTTTGGTGATATAGTTATAAGGATATTCAACATACCATCATTTATTGT